CATTCATATTTTCTAAGCAGACGTTGTGAAAACTATAATTGTGAACAAATTCTGATGGTAGATACAAGGAAAGATGAAACTTGTGCAAGGTCACATGAATCTGCAGTTAAAAGTGTGGATTTGGCAAGAAAGGACAAATGAGGGTAAGAGCACTGCTTGTTCTTCTTCATTCATAAAAAAGGACCCTTATCTATGCCTTTAGGCATATAGGGCACATAGGGCCACACCTATATTTTATAGACCAAATCAGCACAAGATGGGTGATGTGGTCAGCATCACGCCGGCAGACTTTACATTCCGGGACCCACTCTAGGCTGGGTCGACCTGGGAGCTAAAGTCATTTTTTTTTAAAAGTCCGGCTCTACCTGGCAGCAAACCCACGACCTTCCGGCCCGCGATGAGCGTCTAGCTGCTCCGCTGCGGCAACTCCCTCCTTCATTCATCTGAGTCCATAACTGTGCACCCTTCTGTCTTTTCAGATGACACAGCTGCCATATTTTCACCTTTTCGCTGGCACATCCAACCTCTTCAGGTATTTGTCATCTGGGTCCAGGGACCCAATTGTAGGGAAAACAAGAACAGACCCACTAGCTCCCCAACAAGCATGTCGGAAAAGTTGACAACTGGGTTTTTTTCCCCTTCGAAGTCAGTGTGCATCTTTCTGAGAGGCAAGGAACCAACAGTTTGCATACAAATAAACCAGAAATAGGTCAGACCTGTAAAACAGATGTACATGCAGCACTCAGGTTCTGGAATAAGTATTAAGTCCAGAGGTGAATGAACAACTAGAACTTTCCGCCAGAATTTACAGATGGAGAATACGAAGATTTGTTATCCGGATTAGCCTTCAAGGAAGAAGAAAGAGTACACAGCATGTGTACAACTGGTGTGTCACTAAACCATTCAACACCAGACCTTCAGGCATGTCCTGCTGGAGACGGAGCATTTATGGGTAAGCCAAGTCTGGTAATCTTAGTTTTAGCTTCATAGCAAACGGGTCACCCCATAGTTGATCCGCTTCTGTGCCAACGAAACACACAGAATGTTTATCACAGTCCCTAGTGGAAAGATTGACAGACTGCTGTCTCAGCATATCTAGCATACACACGCATCAAAAGCATACGGTGGCCATCCGAAGTGCTAACATAAACAGTTCGACATTAGAAATGCAGTATATCATTGATGGTAGCAGAAGTCACCAACAAAGCAGCAGTTGCACACGCGATCAATTTTAATCACATAAGGGCACCACCAATATTGCGACAACAGGCATCGCACAATTTTCTGAATCTACAATTCACACCACCACGTTGGTCACAGAAAAAAAAATTCATTCCAAATTAAATCTGCAGCTCACAGTGTCATGCCATGCATTCAACTCAGAAGCTGGGCGACAAAACTATATCCTTTCAGTCTGCAAATGGAGCAAAAATGCAACGGCCACCGTCTGGCAGAAGCAAAAAATTTGCCACGGCTCCAAACAGTGCCTGTACCTAGCGTCCATTTTGACCGGAAGCCAAGTATGTTATGATGTTGATCTTAAGGCAGTAATCAATTTTCTACTTAAGAGAGCTACTAGAACATAATGTTGTGGTTTACAAACAATCTGCGATATCTCTTCTACTACCTTCACCTTAAGAGAGCTACTAGCACACTGTGTTGTGGTTTACACTCATTTAACAAAATCGCATTTTCTGGCTCAAGACATCTGATTTCAGCAAACCCATAATTAGTTACCTTGGTACTACTCATGAAAGTCCCCCCCAACTCGTCGGCAGTGGTCAGATTTCGTTGAGCTCCAACACACTGACCTATGTTGTAGGTATATAATGATATGTCTGCCTCTATACACAGAATGCCAAAAAGTGGCTCGAGTTTGTTCAACTTTACCGAACAGTTTCCCAGACGAAACTGCGCAACTTTCTTTTCGCAACTCTTTTTTTTCCCCCTGTAAACCACTGCTGTTTCTGGAATGTGTTATTATTGTGAGTAGGTCTCAGGCGCTGAAGGCGCTTGTGTGGAAGACAGAAGGGAGAAGCGCTGAAAGCGCAACAGTTCGTGAGAACCAATCACTGATGTTTTTGCATTTGTGTGCTCGTTAGCGGCAGCTGTCGTCAGTGGCGGACGTGCTTAGAAGTTTCAAAAATAGGAACACATGAAAGCCCTAGACTATAGCAGTGTCCCGGGAAATCCTCTGTGAAATCATATAGCTGACGAGATGGGGCAACTTTTATGAGTTGTACGGTTACCTTTTACATGTTTGCTAGGAAGGTGCTAGTTATATTTCTCCCCACCACCACCACCCCAGGACTCCGGAAGCAAATCAAATATTAAAAACTCCTGCGTGGGTTCCAGGGCCCCATTTTGTGAAAAGCAAGAACAGACGCACTGTCCCCCTCCCCAGCAGCATGTTGTAAGAGGCGACTAATTAGGATTATTTCCTTCAAAGTCAGAGTGCATCTGCCTAACAGGGCAAAAAAAAAAAAAATCTGAATTAAAAAAGAAAAACAAGACAGTTCTGTAAAACAGATGTGGAAACAAAACTCAAAATCTGGAATAATATCAAATACCGCCAGCTGAGTGCCAAGAAGAAGCTGTCAGTAAGTACAATCTGCAAAGCAAGTCAAATTTTCTCAAATACAAAAACATTATGACCAGGACAAATAAAAATAGGTTGATGCAACAGAGAAAAAAAACACAAAGGGGAGAATAATACATACCAATTATGTTCAATAACTTTGAAATGAAAAACAGAACACACTCATGTACAAATATAAGACTAGATCAAGCTTAAATATCAGATAAAAACTCCTTGCTTATCTTCACAACCCACTTCAGATCCACACACAAAAATTTGTTCCCAAGAAATTATTCAGAAACACTCAAATATATAATTGCACGCACACCAAAAATATTATTACTATGAACACACACAAACACACGCACATATAGGCTGTAGAAAATGGAGCAGCCAGCATATAAAGTCAGTCTATACAACCTGTCAGAAAGAAACGACTGACATATTTACGCCTGCATAGTCCGACCCGGTTTCTGAGACAATGACTGTAGGAACAACAAAATTTCTTAAGATTTTTGTTGAGAGACCAACATCAAAAACAGTAGTACCCATAAGCAGTGAAAGATGGGCTGCATAAGAGCAATTTACAGTTGTAAATCCAGCTTGTGCTGTGCGTCAAGTGCAAGTATTTTAAAGCCAGTTATGGCTGATGTTTACCTAACATCTTGAAAATAAACAGTACCCTATATTTTGTTAACAATTTTCGGCTAAAATACTATGCTATATGCATGCTAAAATACGGTAAATTTTGATACATGTCAGGTATTGGCTTGCAAGTCTAGGACAGCGGTTTTCAGTTAGCTAAGACCAGCAGACTCCATTTTGTCGAAGGTCTGCCACAGACCGCATACATCTTTTTTTTAATGCATAGTGAAAACTTAAGTTGCAGTGGTCCAAAAGGTGAAGAAAAGACACTTGCGTCAAACACAACACAAGCTGTGAAAATCTGAGAATATAACTAGAATGTCTTTGCACTCGAGCCCACAAGAGCAGAGAAATAAAGGCAGACCCACACAAACAAAAACCATGGAGAAGGGAGCTAGAAAGTAAAATTAAAAAGATGGGGAGGACATGGAGCAAGCTGCATGAAACAGTAATAAGAGAACAACTTGGCATGAGTTTGCTGTCATGCCCCAATGGGGGATAGATGCCAGCAGCAGAAGTAAAAACTTCTATCTGAATCGCCAAGAAAAAGAATGGGGGGCGGGGGAGGGGTTTGACAAAATAGAGGAAAAATAATATCAACACACTTACATCCTCTTGTAGAATAAAGTACTGTATTTTTCAGTATATAATACGTCCCCATGTATAAGACATCCCTATGTTTTTTTAAGCACCAAAGCATGACATAACTGGGAGTTTCCTTTGAAGTCGGAGTGCATCTGTATGAGAGGCAAGGAACCAACAATCTGTATACAAATAAGTCAGATCTGTAAAACTGATGTGCAGGCAATACTCAGGTTCTGGAATAGGACTAAAGTCTAGAGGTGGATAAACAACCAGAACTTTCCATCGGAAAAAAAGAAGAATGTGAAGAAGAAGACTGCGTAGACAAAAATGTTGAATGAATGTTGAATTACGAATCAACATAACAGCACTTGGGACACTCCCATAAGCGCTCCCTCCCCAACTCCAGCAGCTAAAATTCTGATGGTACCAGTAACTGTCTGATTAAATATCTCTTGCCTTTCCCCTGAGTGTCAAGCATCAGCCAGATCCCCTTGTCAAATATGTTAATCAACTATTTAAAGTTGCAAAATGTTAAAAATTTATGACAACAAGTTATCACTTCATTCAGCAATGTTCCTTTAACCAACCATTCACAGCTTTCTTTAACTAACAGACACAATCAAGCTATCGAATATCAACTTTCTAGTTTGTGGAAGTGTTAGCCCCACAACAATCTCTCAATAAAATAAATATTTAACAGTGGACACATTTCAGTGACTTTTAAACCAGTGTACAACATTTTTACATCTGCAGACCAGGAAATTTTTTTCAGACAGGCTGATGAAAAAAAATTTTTTTTTAAATATATTTAATCATTCAGCAGGTACTTTAAAGAACGTTGCTCTCTTCATGCATGCCTAAAAGTCTCCCTCTCTCTTTCTCTAACCAATTCTCCAGCCCTATGTGCTTTCATAGCCAACGCATCTTCAACATCTTGTGTCCACATTCGTGGAGGTCTGCCTTGGCTTTGTTTTCTGGAAATTGTACACTCCATTGCTGTTATCTCCAGGCAACCATGACGCATAATATAGCCAAAAAACCTGAGCTTTTGGGGCAGTGTGTGTCAAATGTCAGAGTGTTAATGAACAATGCATTCTCTTTGAGAAGCTCAACTTCGGACACATAGAAAATTAGAAGATGGTTGAGTAGAAAGAAATTGTGTAGCCTTTATTCCCTATCTAGTCACAGCTGCTCACAGAAGGATGCACTTCTTCTTCTTTGGTGGTTCGGGTGGCTCCAGAGCTGCCAGTATGGCTTCATCAAATACATTCTTGAGACCTTTCTGCAGACGGGAAATAAAACAGATTAAGTCAGATGCATTTTTTTTTATTGAGTTCCAACCCAAACACAAATGTCCCCTTAGACAGGATACAAGTTAGGCATCCCTAATACAAGTCATGCATTTTAATGAATAATCATTTGAAAAGCTAAATTTCTGACATGTAGACATTCAGAAGATGGCTGAGAAGAAATTTTGCGGCATCTACTCCCTATCAAGTAACAGCTGTTTACAAAAGGACGCATTTCTTTTTCTTTGGTGGTTCGGGTGTTGTCAAAGCTGCCAGTATGGCTTCATCAAATACATTCTTGAGACCTTTCTGCAGACGGGAAATACAACAGATTATGTAAGAAGCATTTTTTCTTCTTGAGTTTCAATCCAAACAGAAATGTCCCCTTAGACAGGATACAAGTTGAAAAGCTAAATTTCAGACATGTAGACAATCAGAAGATGGTCGAGTAGAAATTTTGCGGCGACTACTTCTTATCAAGTCACAGCTGTTTACAAAAGGACGTATTTCTTTTTTCTTTGGTGGTTCTGGTGTTGTCAAAGCTGCCAGTTTCTGAATGACATTGTGTCCTACTGACAATCCTGCCTGCACGAGCCTTCGTCTCGCTGGCGCTTCTATTCATGGCCACTGCCGTTCCCACAGGCTACTGTATGTTCTAGGGGTGTCAGCATATTCATTTCTTCCCCCCTGTTCCACCGTCTCCACACACAGTTTGAAAAATTGTTCCAGACCTGGGATGATGACACTGTGGAGATTTCTCTGCTGCGTGCAACATTTAGTGATGGGGTGGTTTTTGTATCTTTCTTGTCGTTTTGTTTGTTTGTGTGCCCGGGTGAGTGTTCAACTAAGTTTTCCTGTCTCTGTGAACTATGTGTCTTCTGCAACCATTGGTGGTTTTAGAATTGGTGACATTCTGTGTTGGCTCTTAAAACAAGCCATCTGGGTTGGGGGTGCGGGTGTGTGTCTTAGGACCGACTATGTGGATGGATGTCGCCTACATATCTCGTACTTCAAGTCACTGAGTAAGGCTGAAGTGGATAGTGATGGAGAGCCAACAGAAAAGGCTGCAACACACACAGTGCTGCTAGCTGCTGACAACGACATGGAAAACAGAAGGTGCTGCTGGCCGCTCATGATGCGAAACACAGAACGCTTACAACATTGAAAAGAACACAACTTGACACCACTAGAACATACAATAGTCCATGGGAATGGGGACGGCTGGGAGTCGATGTGGTATGATGTAGTCTGGATCATGAGTAGTACTTGACAGTGTGATGATGTGCTATGTGGGAAGGTATGGGAATCCCAACCCACGGTGACGGTGAGTGTGACTAGTAAGACCTGTCCATTTCTAGAAGTCTTTTACAACAGGGCACAGGATCTCCGAACTGTTGTTGTCATTACATGTATTTAGCCTGTTTCTTCTCTCAGATGCTTGGCTCTCAACCTATCTGCAATTATTTGCTGTTCCCCTTTATTCTCCCTACCTTCCAAACTGTCCTCTCCACACAATAAGGCCCTGGCATTTCAACAAATTATACATAAGACTAAATAGGAAGCCGTGGTCAAAACAAAGTCGCTGACAGCCTATGCTACAACAGTGAATTAAAGGATTTTAATGAATCAAGAAACAACATCCCAACACTCGCAACATTCCCACGTGTGCTGTCTCCTTTTTCAGTAGCTAACTAAGAGTCAGTATGCTAACAGTAACAGTCACAACCTGATTAAAAGTTTGCATGTTTTCCCCTCAGTGTTAAATATCTTCCATATCCTCTGCCCCCCCCCCTCCCCCAACTGCTAAATTAGTCTATCAATATATAGATGCTGGGTCTAAACTGCTGCGTTGTCACTCGATCCCAGAGAGCCTTTATCATACAGTAGTTCACCAGCATGAGGAGCCATGCAGCCAATCTATCAGCCTACTCATTACCCCGCACACTCAAATTCCTAGATAGAAAATCCATATGTTCCTTATTTGAGTCTTATCAAGTGATGCAAGCGACTTTATACATATGACGCCAGTTTCTATTTCATGAAGCATGCTCTGTGAGTCTGTTTCATTTACCACATGTTGGGATGTGCTACTCTCCAGAAATCAGAAAACTGCCATTACTGCCTCCACCTCCATTCTCATACTGGATGTTATGATGTTACATACCATGCTCTCTGTTTTCAAACAGCATACATTCACCACTGGGAGCCGCGTTAGCGCAGTCGATAGGAGACTCACTTTTAAATCCAGCTGCGACTTGCTGCAGCCCACGGCCGGTGTTCAAAACTGGGCGTTTCCCGGGGTTCACACAGCCTCTAGGAAATGGGTACCAGAGTTAACACTGGAGAAATGGAGGAACGTCGCTGTAGCTACAGAGTTTCGTGCGGACGGCGACACCGGCGGTAACTTATCAGCTGTCTGTACTGGTGGCAGAGCACTTATGGTTTAAAACCATGTGCAATGACGCTGGTTCAAATCTCCCCATTTTAGTTTTATACATTCACCTCTACAATAAAACCCCACCAATTATTTATAACTGTCATTACAGATCCATCTAGGTACATAACGATGTTTCCTGGTTGTGAATTTTCACTTATCAGCTCTTGCATGATGCCTGCTTCACCAGCTATCCACTCCTGGCACCCTCAGTCCAAGATAACTATCATTCTATGGGAATCTGTTTTGCTGGACGGCACTGTAAACCGATTCCTCACCATGTTGTCATTAGCAGAAACAGGTTCTGATTGTCACTTAAGCCTGTGCCATCCAAGTGCTTCCTCTTTTCAGCTGATGACTCCTTGCTGTCTAACAAGGTCTCATGTAGAAGGTGTTTCCTATCTGTTGAGACTTTACGGGTGGGGGGGGGGGCGCCATATATTTACAAACCGATTATAATGGTGTGGAAACAGATATGCTACCTTTTTATTATTGTCTTCCTTTTCAAGAATACTGTCATCAATTAAGTTCTACTGAAGCCATATTCTAGAATATTTACCAAATGATGACACTGTCAGGGTATTAATAGCATTAAATCCCAAAGAAGCCTACACTGAAGCCTAAAGGAAATGACACTGAAGCCCACAGGAAATAACATTGTTTCCCACAGGAAATAACACTGAAGCTCACAGGAAATAACATTGAAGCTCACAGGAAATAGCACTGAAGCCCACAGAAAATAAGACTAAGCTGCTAAGAAAATAACACTGATGCCCACAGGAAATAACACTGAAGCTCACAGGAAATAATATTGTCACCCTCTGGAAATAACACTGAAGCCCACAGAGAATAACACTGAAACCCACAGGAAAAAAAATGCAGACAGTGTGAAACTAACCTGTGTGAGAGCTGAGCACTCCACATATTTGACAGCTTTCAGTTCCCTGGCCAACTTCTCTCCATTTTCAGCCAAAATCGGTTTCTGTTTGTTTTTGGCCAGCTTTTCCACTGTGGCAGCATCGTCTCTGAGATCTATCTGTGTCCCCACCAACAGGAATGGTGTTCTTTGACAATGGTGTGTGATTTCAGGAACCCACTGCAGGAAAGGAAGGCAATATGAAATGTGCATCTACTACCACTGCTATACTACTGCCACCTACAATGTTTACTACTGAAATCAATCAGGTGCCATTTTCAAACTGATGGGTAGCTACAATCAGGACTTTTTAAAATGGTGGTATGCAACAATACTCAGGACCGGCACCTTTTATATGCATCACATATTTTCACTGCTAATATAAAAGATGTCAGCTCTGTGGCTAAGTCAATGCGAACACTTTAATGCCGGGTTCGATCCCAGCTGCGGGCCATGTGCCTTGCGCTGGTTTCGACAGTGGTATTAACAAAGCCGACCGTCCAGAAAGCAATGGTAAACTACTGAACGTAAATTTGGCTTAAAAAAAACCACACAACAGCCAGGGGTTGTTAGGGTTGGTTCTGCAATGTCCTGTAAAGGATACGCAAGTAACTAACTTAATGTAATAGACACTCTGAGATATGTACTGGCACCACTTTTAAAAAGAAACACCTGTGGACATATAATTTGCTATGATCTTTGCACATGGATAACATCAGATGGAAGATGCATAACTGAGATAAGAAACAGAATAGGACAGGCAAAAACTTCATTTTATAAAATGAAAAACATCTTGTGCAATATATCCTTGTCATTGAGAGTTAGAAAAAGAATTCTTGCTTGCTACATACAGAGAAGAGACATAGCAGACACATTTGCAGGTTGCTACTGACACATTCAGCAATGAACCTGTGTGTGGACAGCTTTAGATGGAGAGCTTACAAGAATGTTCAGAGTGTTGCGATGTTGATTCTTAACAGATCAACTCATTGCGAGTGCAATGATATGGGCCTGGCAGCATAGTAACTCACTGTGAGTGCAATGATATGGGCCTAGCAGCATAATAACTCACTGTGAGTGCAATGATATGGGCCTGGCAGCATAGTAACTCACTGCAAGTGTAATGATATGGGCCTGGCAGCATAGTAACTCACAGTGAGTGCAATGATATGGGCCTGGCAGCATAATAACTCACTGTGAGTGCAATGTTATGGGCCTGGCAGCATAGTAACTCACAGCGAGTGCAATGACATGGGCCTATCATAAACTCATTGTGAATACAATACCAGCCAATTTATGCCAAGAGTTAGCTGCGATTTTAGTGTGGGACCTCAAGTGTTGGTACACCTGACAACAATCTTATGCATTTTTACTTTGTGTGTGCAAGCTTCAAGATTCTGCCGGGACTGACAAGTTGCCTATTAATTTTAAACTGAAACAGAGAAGGGCATTTTGTGTGATTTTCACTCAAACAGGAATGCAGCAGTTATAGGGGTAACCTGTCTGCAGTGAAACATTGTCTTTTAATAAGGACCTCAAAACTAAAACATCTGCTAATATTGGTTTTAACAGTGAAGCGACAGGAGCAGCTAGGTGAGTGGTTAGAGCTGACCTTCCAAGCAGGGGACCCAGGTTTTCATCCTTAGTACGATGTTGGACAATTGTTTTTGTCGGGGGGAAAAATAAACAGTCCCATTGGTGGCGACTCCACTAGCCATGCTGCTCTACATCCTCGGAACTTCACCCTAAAAACTGGTAATGTAGGCAATAAAAAGTTTACTTTAAACCAGTGGTTTTCAACCTTTTTCAGACGGTGCCTTTCGCCTTTCTTGAAAATATGACAATATCCCCAACCCATCAATCAACTTTTAAAAAAAAAAGGTGATTTAAAATGAGGATGATAAAGATAAAATTTCCAAAACCACTGCTTCAAACAATCAAACACTGTCTATACACATGGGCTTTAGCAGTAAAATGTTTATCAGTAGGTTTGAACACACCGAGACATTACCAGAAAGCCTGAACAACGAACACCATCCACTGGCATTGCAGGAAAGTATAGGACAAATCTGGTCAATGTCCCGCCAGCTGCCTTTACTTCCCAATACATTAAATGGTACCCATTTTGTGCTGGGTTGATTTTAGAGCCAATGCCCTAAATGGAGAAAAAAATCCATCTCAATGCAAATCTGCACCAAAGACATGCGATCCAGTAGGTGAGCCTCTAAATGCTACAGTGAGATCCTAAACAAACAGCAACACTTATTTAAGTAACAATGCAAACCTTTTCTTTAACATTCTCAAAGGATGAAGGAGAAACGACTGAAAAACAAACTAAGAAGACGTCTGTTTGTGGGTAGCTGAGAGGCCGAAGTCTGTCGTAATCCTCCTGCCCGGCTGTATCAAACAGGCCTAAAGTATAGGGCTCACCGCCAATCATGACAGTCACTGCATAGTTATCAAACACCTATAAAAGAATAATAAGACACTTGCTCAAAGCCATGTTTTCATGTAGTGAATTTCTTTATCTTCTTATTCTTAGCATTTATCGGATGTAAACTAAGGTTGTTGGGTGACCTCCTGCACTTTAGTTTTGTCCAAGAACTTGAGTTATAAGTGCAGATCAACTTTACATATCTATTTTATTTGTATGCACCTCCCCCCCCCCACGTGGGTTCCTGGACCCTATTGTGTAGAAAACAAGAACAGACCCATTGCCTCTCCAACAAGCATGTCACAGCAGTCGACTAACTGGGTGTTTCCTTTAAAGTCGGAGTGCATCTGCCTGAGAGGCAAGGAACCAACAACTTGCATACAAGTCAGATCTGTTAAACGGATGCGTATGCAACACTTAGGTTCTAGAACAAGACTAATGACCAAAGGTGGACACACAACCAGAACTTTCCGCCAGAGTTTACAGCCAGTGAAGCAAAGAAGAAGAAACATTTGAATGCAGGCTGTTGGTTTCCTAGCGTCCAGGCTGATGCACTCCTACTTAAAAGTAAATCTCGATCATGTCTACGCTGGTCAGGCTTCCAGCTGAAACCAATTCAGGGATGGTCGCGATCAGGTACAGATAGTTCTTGACCCTTTTCTTGGTTCTTTATTTATATCCTACCCCAGATGACGTCACAGGATAGTCCAACATTTTAGAGGGTGGTAAGACTGGGTTTCCTGGCTTTCTGATGCTTTTAACAACCCCAAAACGTATAGAACTGGCCCTAACCCCAGCCCACCTACGTCCCACGAGAGAGTGTAGCCTAGGTGCCATTTCTGCATGCAGCCTATCTACAACCCCCTGAAATATTAGACTTTTCCGTGACCTGTGGATTGTCCCTGTTTGGGGAAGGATGTTAATAAAGCACACCCTTTTCTTCCTTGGTCCTTGCTGCAACACCACATGTGGTTCAATTATATATATTACAATGTACTGATCGGCACTGACAGAATGGAGTCGAAAAAAAGAAAGACACACTACACAACGTAAAAATAGAAGGCTATAGTTTACCATGCCAGGAACCGAATCTGTCACCTCCATATCTTTCTACATCTTTCTATGAGTGCCGATCAACAGACTGTTCGTTGATAATAAATAGTACATTTCTACACACACAAAAAACATATCAGGGTGTTCCCCATGTAGATAAAGAAGGGTGTAGGCAAATTACCTTGTAACAAGCATGTCTTAAAAGGCGACTAATTAGAGGTTTGTTAAAATTGGATGAGATAGGGCAAAATGTACAGATATCACAGCCTGGCTGTAAACCACAAGACATAATTCCAGTTGCCTTATTAAGGGTGAATATATAAGAACTGGCAGCAGTTTAAATGATTCTTCTGTTTTAAGAAGTAACATAACATGATGTCACAAGGAAGCTGAACAGAGGGAAATAAAAGAATGTGCACAAACACAACTAAAGGTTTTAAACTAAGTATTTATCAACAAACAAAACTGCAGTCACCCTTATACCTGGACAGTCCATGACAGCTGCATTAGCCATGTGCTCTCAGAGATCCCCCCCCCCTCCCCTCCCCCATCATGCAAAAGTGGCAAATACAGGCTGTAATGAGTTTTCTATACAAGCGATTTTTGAATCCACCGACTCTTTTCCTAAAAGCACTAACTATATTAGCTCCTTTTAACTGAAGACCTTGTTTACATAAGCTATTCTTCTTAGTGTCTGGTCTGTAAACACCAGTAGAAAGTTCTGGATGTCGGTCCGCTTTTGGACTTTGGCCTTGTTCCAGAACTTGAATTTTGCGTGCACATCTGTTTTACAGATCTCACTTATTCGTATGCAGACTGCTGGTTCCTCACCTCTCAGATGCACTGCAACTTCAAAGAAAACACCCCCCATTAATTACGTTTTGCAAAATGCTTGCTGGGTGGTTTGGGGGAGTGAGGAGTGGTGAGGGCTGGATAATCCCCCCCCCCCAAATGGATCCCCGGAATTCATCTGGAGAATATGGCAGGCAACTAGAATGTATAAACAATCTGCAGATAAACAATGATTCAAGATTACTCACGGTTGGCACATATTCTGAAGGAAATTTATTGGTTGTATAGGAGATAAGCAAACAGGTTTTGCCCACAGCTCCGTCACCGACAACGACGCACTTTATTGTCTGCATTTTGCTGGCTCAAAGTTACGTCACCTGAGCAAACAGCAATGACAACATGTGAAATGAGACGTAAAATAAATGCAGCAGAAAAAACAAAAAGAGAGAGAGTCGATCAACAAAGAACTAAGAACAAAGGTAGGCACAATACAGGTAATAATACTAGTAATTCACAGAACATCAAAGATTCAAATGGTCTGATCAACTGGTCAGAATGGAACAAAATCAGCCAGCAGTTATAGCGTAAAAGTGAATAAAGCAAAGATCCGTTTTCACGCCTTAGGCACGCTGGGCATATAGGAAGAGCATCCGATATTTTTACAGACCAATCGGAACTAGATGGGTAATGTGGTCAGCATTACACCAGCCGTTTTTACTTTCCCAGGACAGCTATCCTGGTACCCATTTTAGGCTGGGCCCACCTGCGTGCCCCATAATATAATAAAAATCCATGCAGCCAGCTGTGGGTTTCGATCACGGTATGTTGGAATTACGAGTCGGACTTGCAACGCCTAAGCCAAGGACGCTGCTAGTTACAGTGTACTACATGAAAACAACAGGCTACGAGACCAGCAGAAGTTGCTAGATCAGCAGAAGTTGCTAGATCAGCAGAAGTTGATAGATCAGCAGAAGTTGCTAGATCAGCAGAAGTTGCTAGATCAGCAGAAGTTGCTAGATCAACAGAAGTTGCTAGTTGCTAGACCAGCAGAAGTCAATGGGAAGTGTATCCTGTGCCTCCCCTAGCATAATATAACAACACTTCACTAACATCTGAAAAGACGGAAGGGTGCCAGTTTACTTCTGCCCTTTATGAATGATACTCGTAAATCCTTTAACATAGGCACCTATCCTACTACTCGCTGACAAAATCAATGCAAAGTTTGCCAACAAACAAACTGGTCTGCAACCAAATCGCCTGCATATAAAAAAAGTCCTGGCTGTTGGTCCACTTGGAGTTCACTTTGTGAAAGGGCATGAGGTTTGCGTGTACACCCATTTTACAGGCTTATTTTTGTGTGCTGCTGTTACCCTGTTTGTTTGTTCCTTGCCACTCTGGCTGATGGAGTGCACTACGACTTTGAAGGAAGCCCTTAATAAGAGGACACCTACTACACACTTGGGGAGATAGTGGGTCTGTTCTTATTTTTCCCACAATGAGGCCAAGGAACCCACACAGGGAATGAGTATCTAAGTCTCAGTATCTGAATTATTTAAAACCTTCTTCTTCTGCCTTTCTAGCCCCCAATGGAGCGTAGGCCCTCAACCAACTCACGCCAAGTTGTTCTGTCCTTTGCTATCACGTGCAGCTCTCCCCATGTCCGGCTCATCTTTCTACTCCCTTCTCCGTGTGTTTTTTGGGCTTCCTTTATTTCTATGCCCCTGTGGGTTCCAATGCAAAGATATTCTAGTTATACTGTTCTCCGGTTTTCTCAAGTGTCCTATCCAACATCTGCATCTTTTCTTCACCTCTTTGTGACTTGGTCCACTGGAGCTTGCTTAGTTCTCTCCCTTAAAGATTAAATCCATTAAACTATTCTCATATTTATGAATTTATTTTATATTATTTTTAATATTTATACTTACTTTCATATTATTTGTATTTATAGTAAGATTTCCGATTTCCATCTAATTATTCTTTCTTCTTTTGTCAAAATCTGCTTGTGCCGCTAGGCGTCGCAGTCTATCAGATGATCGGCAACCAAGCCAGGGCGCGCTCAGTCGCTTCATATGCCGTGATGTTATGAAGTCTCAAGTTGTCCGTGACTCTTCAATCCATCTTCTTCTTGGTCTTCCCCTGCCTCTTAGTGTTTCAATTTTCATGTTGTATGCTCTTGATGCTGGCATCGTTGGTTCCATTCTCATTAGGTGACCAAACCATTTCATTCTTTGCTTCTCAATAAATTTAACGATGGGTATGGTTCCAATAGTTCTTGTAATCACATCGTTACATATTTATAATTATTATTATTTATTAATTATTTGAATTTGAAATTCTACGGCAAACAATTTCACACGCCAGCATAAACCCTGCCAATTAATACTGAATACTGTAGTAATGCAAGCTGGAGTCCGGTTAGCAAAATCTCCTTTACACATCTTTGCAAGGATTAGGAATGTGTATATAATGACAACACTCCCCTGGGAAATTTTAGCAAGGCACGGGCACGGCCAATGACAATGGGCGTAAAAACATATGATATTTATGTCTTTGCAAATCAAGTTTTGCGTAAATTTAGACACATGTACTAGTTCTCTACAACAGACTGCAAGACAACAAATATTCGTATTTCATCAACCATACCTTGTGTGGATCTAAGGGTCGTTTCCCAACAACAATTAATTAATTTCCTGCTGCAAGTCTCCAAAACTTCACTTCCTTGACAAATTTCAGACCCGAAGCCGGAAGACACGTTAGACTTGACCCGTGCGCACAGAGTCGGTTGCGCATGGTAGATAGATACACCGGGGCCGTCGGTAGGGACAGCCTACAAATTCCAATTTTTCGTTATGTGAAGCCCTAATCTGGCTCTTGCCAGGGGCCGCAATGTACGGATAGTTAGTTGCGTATCCTTTACAGGACGTTGTAGAACCAACCTCAACAGCTCCTGGCTGTGGTTTTTCTAGGCAAATTTACGTCCAGTAGTTTGGCCGCAATAAACCCCGACCATAAATATGGTCTAATGGGCTGAACGCGGTTTCTGGGACCTCTACACGCCTGATCTTCATCCACATGGTGGCACTTTGTGTCATTTGGTGTTTATCGCTTGTGTGATGTCCTGGTGAGATAGATAGATAAATAGGAACAGCCTCGGATACATCATCCCTCGCTTTGTCGTTTGTGATAATTATATAAACAACTGATGTATGGGCGTTGTTAGACTAAAACAATCACAGGCACCACTTTAATTCCATGCGGATGGACTAATGTCATCCCCACAACCCAATCCCGGTTACGCCCTATAGCCAACCCCTCCCTCCCTCCTTAGACACTCAGTGTGCGCTGTTGACGTCAAACCCGTCCCTTTTTTTTTGCCCCTACCTGCGCGTTGAAGGTATATAGGCTGACCGTCTTTTCATTGAACGAAGTTTTTTTCGCCAGGGACACTAGATGAGTATCATTTATTCTATACATTAGAGACCTATGTAGTCACTTCACATTGCGGATATAGATAATCTAATTTTGGCGAACGAGAAAAGAAGAAGACGAAGAAAATAACCCTATTCCTACCCCCCCCCCCCCAATCTATACTATTGGACCTTTCCGGTGAACTACCTAGGAATTCCTTACCAAATCTCACAGCCGACGAGATGGTGTGAAAAGCTGAAAAGTACCCAAAATCAACTACATTCAAAGGTTTGCCAGGGTAAACGCAGGTTCACGGCCATGTCTTTTTCAGTTTTTTGTTTCACTATTCGGCACACTTTAAACTTAAAACACAAAATTAAAACACAGTGGCAATAATTATACTGAAACTGCCTATTTATCTAAGTGTAAACTATGTCAATTAGGACACACACAATCCACACGTGCGTACATTTTTTAATCATACAATTATAATTACAAATCCCATCTTATGAAATAAATAATTAATAAAAATCAAGCAACTAATCGACGTGGCTATAACTTAACACCATCACAAGATATCACACTCACGTATCAATGCAATGCTATTAAGATAAGGATTCTCAAAAGCATTTATTTAAATACATTGCTTGAAATGAAAGTTCTAAAAATAGAAGCCAACCATAGGCATAATATCTTACTTTATTTTTAGAACGTTATTAAACAAGCAGAATAGAGGCGCCCTCCCCCTTTTTTTAACGTTATGATATATAGAAGTAACCTCTCATGACCTTGACATTATTATTAAACCACCAAGCAGACAAGAAATCCTTAAAGCTATCCACACTTTAAAGAACAACAAAGCACCAGACAAAGGAAAGGCAGAACTGCTCAAAGTAGATCCCATCACAACTGCTAGCATTTTAGAACCATTGTTTAAGGATATTTGGGGAAAAGAAAAGTTGCCCAATGATTGGACTGAAGTAACAATAGTACACCCCCCCCCCCCTCCCCCAAAGACTGCAATAATTGGAGGGGAATTACTCTACTATCAGTACCAAGCAACATTTTTTGTAAAATCATCATAATGCGACTCGAAAAGGAAGTAGATAAATGCCTACGAGTGGAGCAAGTAGGATTCAGACAGGGTAGAGGAACAGCTGAGCATATCTTTACTCTACGTAACATTTTAGAACAATGCAATGAATGGAAGAAAAGTATATATATATATATATATATATATATATATATATATATATATATATATATATATATATATATATCCACCTTTCACAACACATGTCTACGTAGAATTGTTAAAATTTTCTGGTCAGATACAATCTCAAACACTAAACTGCTTCAAGTCACAAACCAAGAATCTCTAGACAGTATAACAAGGAGAAGATGAAAATGGCTTGGCCACGTCATGTGGATGATTACTGATACACCTGCCAAAACAGCTCTCACATGGATACCAGAGGGAAAGAGAAAGAAGGGGCGCCCAAAAACAACATGGAGACAAACAATGGAGAGTGACCTGAATGCGACATTTCTGATATGGACAACCGCACTGAAGATTGCACAGACAAGAAAGCATGGAAAGACCTCTCTGAAGCCTCATGTGCCACTAGGCATAAAGAGAATTAATGTTGACATAAAGACGTATGGAAGAAATCGAAGCACTGGGTAATTTTGGAATTGAAATAATTAAACTTTTAAATGATATTTATAATATTGGGTATATTCAAAATGACCTATTAAAACCTACATTCATAGCTCTGCCAAAGAAACCAGGCACTTTGAAATATGAAGACCATCGCACAATAAGTCTTATGAGTCACATGACTGAGATTTTACTGAGAATAATTATGAGAAGAATAAGAAACAAAATTAAACCAGAAATCAGTGATAAACAATGTGGATTTGAAGAAGAAAAAGGTACAAACAA